GGTTCCCAGAGTTCGACCCTTTCTGCTGGGGTGCTGCTGAGCAGGCTCCCACGCCCAACGCTGAGCACAGCAACCCACCACCCCAGACCCCAAACAGACAGCCAGATCTCCCTCCTAGCCTCCAGCCCTGGGAAGCCAAGTGACAACAGAAGTGTGCTAAGACCCTCTAGTCTGCCTCCGCCTGCTCCAATATGGTATTAGTGTTGATGGGGTGTATTCCATGGCTGTGGTGAGCGGGCAGTGCAGGCATCGTCTGGCCTACGCCAGCTGATGCCACCACACCACCCCACTTGCACCCACAGCCCTCGGTGTTTAAGTGCAGTTTAAAATTGGAAGTGGGCACCGGCACCTGGGATGAGGCTGAGAAATCTCCCCGCCAAATGCCGTTGAATGTGCTCACTCCCGAGGCCCTAAGTGTGTGTTTGTGTGGAATGTCGTTGGTGGAACAATTCTGATTGTTTCACAGCCAGACAGGACACGGTAAAAAGACAGGAACAGTCCTTGGGCCGTCGCTGATGACGTTTTACAGGGACGTGAGTTTACAAGTACAGACAAGTATGCATACTGAGAGATGGCCAGTATTTTCAACCTCTGTAAGGTGTGTAGTTCTCTGCTACTTGGACAGCCATTGCCTCGATCTTGCTGTCAATAAAGTTTTTTTTTTCTTTTTCCATTTGGGAAGAACACAGGGATTCCCCTCGTGAGCTGAAGTTGTGGTGTGACCAGATATTGAGGACGTTTTTGTATGTAAATGACAGTGAACAGACATGAGCACCTGGGTCAGCGGCGACTCCAGAAATGTTTTTCTGCAGGTGCTATGAAGGAGCTAGTCTTTTTATTGCGGGTGCTATGAAGTAAGTGGTCGTGCGTACCTATTGTTCTCTAAAACACCTTCAACACTAGCAGATACACATATGTGCACAACACCTCAACAACACCTGAAACAATCATTAATACACATCATAAACATATGAACAATCACTGACTTTTCCATGAAATCATAAACACATACAGCCACACAGAAAACCATCTATAGTGTTGCAAAGTTAGCTAACGTTAGTGTTAGCATTTCCAGCGGCAAAACCCTGGACTGCTGCGGCGGTTGAGGGTTGACTCTCTTCATCCAGATCCGTAGGTTTTTGTGGGTCTGAGATCACTTCCAAACATTCATTCGTTTCTGACTGAACCCGTGGAAATGTGGGCAACAAAAACGATCCATTTTACCACTAGCTCTACCTTTCACTCGTTCACAGGTGGAAAATGAGTTCAAAGGTTAACATAAATTTATTTTTGTTTTGTATGATAAATATTATCACATCCACACGTTAAATTAAACTTAAATTGTAAAAAAAAAATCTAACATTTACTTGGGGGTGCAATGAATAATCCAGGGGTAGCTATAGCACCCCCTAGCGCCCCCCTGGCGCCGCCACTGACCTGGGTATGCACAGGTGGGATTCATCATCAGTCGATTGCTCAGGAACATGCACGAGTGCCCACCGCATGTTTCATAAATCAGGATTTTGGCCATTTGTACGAACTTTCTAGGTTTCATTTGCAGGATGGAATACAGGACAGTTTCCATGAACGCTTGATGAATGAGGCCCCAGGGGCTTTCTTGGTCCAGTTGGGCGGGGCTTATATTTGATTGCCTTTCACAGGTTTAAAAAATAATGACTTTATATGAAACTTCTGTCACGAGTATTTAAAAGCAATCTGGCTGGCATCTTTAAGAAGTACACTGCTAACTTAAAGAGTAAGTCACCCCCAAATCAACTTTTTATTTCTGATAAACTGTATAAATGCGTGTCGAATCGTGCTGCAGACACGTGTAGTCAATAGATTTGTACTTTAGTGCATTTTAGTTAAAATTAACTTTTCTGCCTAAAACTGTTGGTGTTGCGCCGTTGTCGGGTAAAAACTCTGCACTGCATTTTAATTTAAATCTGCCATCGCTATTGGCTAAGAGGTACTCTAGAATGTTAGCTGGTACCATATGATGTCACAATGTCGTTGTGAGCCTGTGTGTGTGTGTGTGTGTGTGTGTGTGTGTGTGTGTGTGTGTGTGTGTGTGTGTGTGTGTGTGTGTGTGTGTGTGTGTGTGTGTGTGTGTGTGTGTGTGTGTGTGTGTGTGCATATTTGTTAGTGGCACCGCCCTCTCGGTCTGCTGGGCAACAGCATTTGTGTCATGTCTCCCAATCCTTCACCCTCCTCTGCCTTCATGCAGCACACCTGGTCTCATCATCAAGCCCCAGCCAAGCCATGTTTCCCTGACTACCACAATCTGCTTCATCCACTTCACCTGCTTCTGTCTCCTCAGCTCATCACTCACACCTGTTCCCCCTCCTACAAAAGAACCAGCCACCCAGTCATTCAGTGCCTGATCTCTGCCTCCGGACCTCGTTTTTCTCCTGACCCCTGCCTGAACTCTGCCTGCCTCCACGACCTTCGCCTGTCCTCAACCTCGCCCCTTGCCTGTTCCCCGCATCTGCATGTCCGATCTGGTTTTGACTCTCGCCTCCTCTCTGACTCTGTTCCCAGCCTCGCCCAACTCTGGTAACTCTGCTTCAAATAAAGACTTTTTTAAAATATATTTTTACTGTGTTTGACGTCTTCACGGGTCTTAGTTCAGTTCATGACAATTAGTTACATTTTTCAAACAGGAAGTGGGAGTGGAGTAATACTCTTGTAGGGGGTGACTTGCTCTTTAATACTTGTTATATACGGTTTATTAGCACATTATGGTTGCTACGTTACCTCTATTCCTTTACTAGTCACACTATACTTAGTTATTACACTTTACTTTGTAAGATAATTGCTTATAGCTTCTGTTACTACAGAGCTATAGTGTTTTTTTCAGAATATTTTGTCCACCAGACAGTTTATTCCAGAACATTTAGTTTAATCCAGATTTGTGAGAGTTTATATTCCTGTCTATCCTCAGGGATGCATCCTGGTGCCTCTTGGAGGCTCTCTCATAGTTTGTGGAATAGACTCCCACAGACTATGAGAGTGTTCTACATTCAGCTCCTTTAAGACGTGGGTCAAACGCTGGTTATGGACAGGTCAAGATTGCACGCATCTGTAGAGGCGGAATCATTTTAATGTTTTTGAATCTCTGTTAGTGACACAGAAGTGGAGTTATGGTCTTAATGTACTATTTTTTTCTTATGTAATTGCTTTCTTGGGCCCATGTGCGAACTGGCCCTTTGGGACTACAGATGGAAATTAGCCCTCGGCTATAATCTGGTGTGTTTACATTTATGTTGTTTTATTCATGTATGTTCATTAACCAAGCCCCCACAATGCGGCTCAAAAATTGAGCCCAACCCGGAAGTACCAAAAATTGCAGTTCCACCCTCATCCACTAGGGGCTGGTGTCAGAAGTGAGCAAATCCTCATTGACTCCCATGTTAAAAATGCCAATTTCACAGCAGAAATAAACATGTTTACAGCCTGGTACCAGAACATGTTTTTGGGTTAAATGATCTAGTTTACACTCATGACAACTCTGAGGGGGGTGAATTTTTTTCTCAATCTTCTGTTTAAGTGTATTAAAAGCCTAAAATTCTGTATAATTAATGAGCATCAGACCCACGTGACCACAGAGCTAGCTCCGTGGAAAGGCCTCAGTAGAGCCTCGGTCTGGCCTGGAAACTGTTCCGGGATTTTGAGTCTCTGTGTGTGTGTATTCTTGTTTGGATATTTTTGTGCAATTGTTGGACAAAATGACTTGCTGTGGCATTAATTGCACTAATAGAGCGTCCAAGGAGTCTCCACTTCATTTTTCGGTAAGTAAAATTATATTTATGTATTTTAGGTCACTGCCGAGCTGAGCTTAGATTTTAACATGTACTGTTTAACCATGAAATTTAAATGTAATAGGGTAAAACCCAGTGCATTTAACATAATGCTGCACTTTAGAAAATGGGTTGAAATATAACATGTTGGTGGAGCTGGGTTCCCACTATCGGCTTGTGGAGCTCTCGGAGACCTCTGTGTTCCACCCGGTTTTACCCAGCGGTCAGCCCGGCGTATCTCTGACTCAGAGGTTGTGCACAGTTAACTCCGGTTGTAGCTAGGTTGCTACCTCCGTTAGCTTAGCTCCCAACTCTGCGTTAGCTTTGGGTTAGCTTCAGGTTAGCTTGTAGCTAGTTCGACCGGGTGTCGTCAGTTGATCCCAGCCTTACAGCCCCACCCTCAGCTCCTCCTCTCTTCCCTTTTGTGGAATTGTCTGGGCTTGACGGAACCTGTGACACGGTCAAAATGGCGGTGGTGGCCACCTCCCATTTTAGCACAAAAACGTATTATTGGAGCGTATGGAAATGAATTGTCCATATATGTCGATGTCATTAACATGCACTGTCTCAACCAAATAAATAAAATCTAAATCTTATTTTATAATTTATCACCAGAGGCACATTTTTAATCAGCAGCAGGTTTTTTACCTCCAGAACAACATGAATAATCTGGTTCTTTGTATTTTTTCTGATCATTTTGCATCTATTTAAACCTTTTAGGCAATTTCTTTGGCCTGTATTTATTTATTTTTAGCTTTAGTGGATTTTTGCTTGAACAGGACATACACACACCACTCAGAGTATAGCTCAGGATCTTCATCAGTTCTCCATAAATGTCCAGCTCTTCCTCCTCAGATCCTCTGTCTTTGGGCTGCAGGTTATAAAAGCATTCAGACTCACGCAGAACAAACCAAGCTGCTCAGTGAGAGTAGCATGAAGCTGAAATGGGCAGCTGCTGCTGGACGCTGACATTAGGGCTTTTGACCTAAAGTATCAACAGATCCAGCCTCGCTCTGCTCGTTCCAGCTTCTCAGAGCTGCAGGACTTCCTGCTTCTGACACTCAAATAAAACTTTGTTCACATCTGAAGCAGCCGGCAGCTAAACCCTGAGCCATGTGTTGTAAAAAACATTTCAAATCACAGATTTAAAACAAGCATGTGAAAACCAGCAGATGAAACACGCCGAAGAAGGCCACTCACCTGTTGAACTCGTAGATGTCCTCGATGTTACAGAACAACGTGCTGACCTGCTCCGGCTTCAGAGGAAGAGCACCGCGGTCGATGATGCAGCCCAAGTAATCCTGCAGGAAAACAGAGAGGATGCTGAACAAGATTCTTCCTCACGCTGGTGGAGAACGCCGAACTGGGTTATCTGGCTCCACATTCCTGCTGCTGCAGGTGTTTTTGGTCTTTAACCAATGAGGAATGATGGCAAAGACACAAATGGAGGAAACAGCTGTTATTCCAACCCTGATGCTCACAAACTCCGATTGAAATCAAAATCTGAAGGTTAAGCTGTGTGTGTGTGTGTGTGTGTGTGTGTGTGTGTGTGTGTGTGTGTGTTACGTTATCTAATGTTAATGAACATTTCCTCTTAAAGTGAACCAAACTGATGACTGAGTGAATCTGCCTGATGCTTCTACTCAGTGTTGCAGCATCAGGAGGAGGTGAAGCTGCAGCAGAAGCAGCCAGCCCGTCATCTCCCAGCTTACAGCAAGAGCAGGAAACCACCTGTGCTTCGGAGCCGACCCGAGCAGCAGGAGCGGCTCGGGGAAAAAAACAGGAAGTGAAGATGGAACAGAGATGATGGTTGTCTGAGTCCGATCTGTATGGAACCTGGTGCTGATCCAGATGATCGGAACAGAAGAACCAAGCTGATCCTCGTGGGTTCAGGAACTGGACTGTTTTACTGCCTTGATTCTGTTTCTCACATCAATCAGAAAAGTGCAAAGGTTTTAAACAGGAACCTCACATCAGCTCTATTGTTTTTTTTGTTTTGTGGCTTGCCAACTCCGGGTCGGCGAGAGGGTCCTACCTCAAGTGGAGGAGTTTAAGTATCTCGGGATCTTGTTCACGAGTGAGGGTAGGAGGGATCGGGAGATCGACAGGCGGATCGGTTCGGCGTCTGCAGTGATGCGGACGCTGAGCCGATCTGTCGTGGTGAAGAGGGAGCTGAGCCAGAAAGCCAGGCTCTCGATTTACCGGTCGATCTACGTCCCAATCCTCACCTATGGTCATGAGCTTTGGGTAATGACCGAAAGAACGAGATCGCAGATACAAGCGGCCGAAATGAGTTTCCTCCGTAGGGTGGCCGGGCTCAGCCTTAGAGATAGGGTGAGGAGCTCGGACATTCGGGAGGGACTCGGAGTAGAACCGCTGCTCCTCCGGATCGAAAGGAGTCAGTTGAGGGTGGTTTGGGCCTCTGGTCAGGATGCCTCCTGGACGCCTCCCTGGGGAGGTGTTTCGGACATGTCCTGCCGGCAGGAGGCCCCCCGGGTCGACCCAGGACACGTTGGAGAGGTTACATCTCCAATCTGGTCCGGGAACGCCTTGGGGTCCTGCCGGAGGAGCTGGTGGAGGTGGCCGGGGGAGAGGACGGTCTGGAGCTCCCTAGTTGGGATGCTGCCCCCGCGACCCGGACCCGGATAAGCGGAGGAAGACGACGTTTGTTTTTTCATCTTTGTCCACATTTTGGAATGAAGAGATCAGTGGCTCTCCGAACTGTTTCACAGAATTCCCAAATCTGTCTCAGCTGGACCAGGGAAAGAAATTAGCTTTAACCAGCTTTTGGTATCAAACAGGACAAAAGGAAATTAGACCTATAAGCCACCTCCAGCTGAATTTTAGAGCCTGAACTTCACATCTGGATGAAGCTGCCTCAGGTCAGAGGTCAGAGATAACAACGTGATGAGGCTCTGATGAAGAACAGCAGGCTGGAGGAGTGGTTCAAAGGTTTTTGGGTTTGAGTCCTATCAGAATCCAGACTTACAGGAGACTATTTGTCTAACCACTCCGATGTTCCCTGCTTTAAGCACCACCCCCAGCTGTAGACGGTCAGGTAAAAGGTTCCTGAGCTTCTAAAGGAACTCTCTCTTAGGTCAGCAGTTTTCTATCGTGGGACATGAAACCAGAGGATGAAGACTCATTCTGAGTCCAGAAGACAAGAGACAGAAGTTTAACACGAAGTTGTAAAAAAGAATCACATTAAAATCTGCTTGTTCCTCCTGAACTTGTCCCAGACCATCGCTGAGATGATGATGAGCACCATCATCACTTTCACCACCTTCTAAAGGCACCAGGAAGCGCTGCAGGGCATCATGGGAGAGATGAGTGAAAAGCAGCTGGGATAAAGGACAGAAGACAGCAGGAATGAGGAAGAAGGTTTGTTCCGAGACACGGAGGAGGAGGAGGAGCAGTGGCTGGATGGAGGTGAACGTGAAAATTCATTTTATTTTGCTTTTTGATCTCTGGGTAACAAACTTAGTCTCCCTCTTGTTTTTTCTCTTCCTGTGACATTTTGTCCTTTTCTTCACCATGCCCCCCCCCCCCCCCCCCCCCCCCCCCCCCCCCCACACACACACACACACACAGGTTGGAGTCCCACCCTTTTCCCCCTTGCACCCCCCTGTTTCCTGTCCCACTTGGCTCCAGGTCAGCACAGCGATCCTCTCAGTCGCTCACTTTTCTCTCCCAAAACAAAAAATGAGTCCGAGTCTCGTTACGGCGTTTCTTCAACCCCAGCGGCTCCTCCTGCAGGAGGCTAGTTGTCTGAGAAGGGAATTCTGATTATGGATGAGGAGCTGAACCCGGAGGAGGAGTTTTAGGGTTGTTTTCGTCTCAAAGGGAAACATTTCTCACAGTCAGGCACACAAAACACACAGAGACACAAAAACATTTAAACTATGGTGAGTCTGTCAAGCTGCAGAAGAACCAGTCTGTAGGGGAGCCATGATGAAGAGGAGATCTTCTTCCTCATGTTTGCTTTGTCATTAAACACACACACACACACACACACACACACACACACACACACACACACACACACACACACACACAACTCTTCTGGTCGTTGGTTCAGATTCCAAGTGAGTCTGACATCATGTTGCCTGAATCAAAACCAGACCTGGAAAAACCTCAGGAGCAGCAGGAACAGAGGCTTTCATTACAGGGGACACACACACACACACACACACACACACACACACACACACACACACACACACACACACACACACACACACACACACACACACACACACACACACACACACACACACACACACACACACACACACACACACAGATCATGGACACAGGAATTCTGGGATTGCTGCTTCTCTAAGAAGACTGAAATAAGATGTTTTGCAGATGGAGCCACATCTTTGTGTCCCAGCTGGCAGAACTGAACCAGAACTTAGCCTGAGCCGGCCTGTGGAGCCATAGGACAATACATGAAAGGAGTGTTTCATTCATTTCTCACAGTTTTTCTTACAGATCTATTAGATTTTCACCGGGTGACGGAGGCACAGGAGTTAAGAGCTCGCTCTGTAATCGGAAGGTTGCAGGTTCGAGCCCCGCTCTGTCTGTCGCTGTCGTTGTGTCCTTGGGCAAGACACTTAACCCACGTTGCCTGCTGGTGGTGGTCGGAGGGACCGGTGGCGCCAGTGCTCGGCAGCCTCGCCTCTGTCAGTGCGCCCCAGGGCAGCTGTGGCTACATCGTAGCTCATCCCCACCAGTGTATGAATGTGTGTGTGAATGGATGAATGACTGATTGTGTTGTAAAGCGCCTTGGGGGGTTCCAGGACTCTAGAAGGCACTATATCAAATACAGGCCATTTACCATTTTGTTATTGCCAATAACGTCTCCGTTGGGCTCACTGTGGATATAAAACTCCGTTAGTTTCATCAGCATCCTTTAATATTCGGTTTAAAGTCAGACATCAGGCATTAACTTATTAGATTACATGTTTTGTGTTGTTAGTGACTGTTTCATGGCATTATTTCTAAATACTTCCTGGCCTCTGGGTGTTTTAGCTTTGCTCCACTAACAACTGAATCAAATTCCTGTCTTTCCTGACTGATGTCACTCTGACTGTAACCGGATCAGAACCAGACCGAGACAAAACCAGCCATCCTTAACTGGACTAATCTGATCCGTACTCATAATAAAAAGCTCTAAATACAGCTGTAAAATGTTTATTCGCTGCACAACGAGGCCGAGGAAGTAAACGGGAAATGATTTGCTCGTTTATGTTTTAATAATCAGCATCGGGCCCGCGGTTAGTCTGGAGTCATGAGGCTGGAGGAGACCTCAGAGGTGGGGTTGGCTAGCAAAGAGGAAGGATGTGGTGATGAAGAGGAGAGCAGGAGGTTTGTCTGCTGACTGACAGACAGCTGATGGGGCTGACAGCCTCAGTGTGTGTGTGTGTGTGTGTGTGTGTGTGTGTGTGTGATAGAGAGAGTTGGCAGAGGATGAAAGCCGCAGTAAATTCTGCATTTTACTTCAAAACAATGTTTGACTGCGATCAGACGTCTCCACCTGAACCAGCGATGAATGATCCAACAATCGTTTTTCTATAAAATCAGATTTTTTTTTACTTGATGAAAGGCTTGAAAGTTGCATCCAGATGTCAAAAAGTGAAGCAAATATTCAGATTCAGATTTTCACATGGCCTGGTAGAGGACCGAGAAGACCATCAGGACCACAACCTGAAGCTGTACATCGGCAACCACAGAGACCATAGGAGGAGGGAGGGTTCTCCACATCAGCAGCAGGAATGTCTGACCAGCAGGTGGAATAGATGCAGGTGCAGCGAGCGTCACCATGCTGACGCATAGCTAGCTGTGATGATACGCATACAGCAGTATGTTTGTGTGTTCAATACCCTAAAAATGACTTTTTGACTATTTTACGGCTGACAAATCCTCACAAACACAGAAAAGATCCACACGCATTCGGCAGGAGCTACATGTAATGCAGCTGTGTTTTTGTAGGAAACACCGATCAGACCAGCTCACGGGTTCTAGGACGGCACGACGAACCGCGACAAACTGTCTTGGAAACTAAAATTACAACATAAAATGAGTGAAGTATGAAGAGGTCAAAGGTGACATTTTCTTCACATCAAAGCTTCTAAAACCCAGAGTCAGAGCAGGAGGTGTGAGCTCAGCGATGTCGCAACAGGAGGAGGAGACAGACACATGTAAACTGGCCTGGGGGGTGCACACCTGGGCAGTAAATCAGCTGGCAGCTCTGTGACACACACACACACACTCACTCACACACACGCAGGTATGTGCCGGTGTGTTTGTCCTTCCCGTAGATCCCTGCTGCATCGTGATACGCCAAACAGGACTGATGCTTTAAAAAATAAATGGGTAACCATGGCAACTGCTAACACTGGCTGCAGATTTAGTAGGAGCAAAAGTTACCACAGATCTCAGACCAGTTGCTTCTTTCTCATCAGCTCTGTCAAGCTGAGTAGTTCCCCCTGACTTCTTACCTCCACGATGCTCTTCAGGTCTCTGACGTAGGCCTGCTCTGTCTCTACAATCTCCAGAACCACTCTGTCCAGACGGAAAGCTGCCTGGGCCTGGCCACCGCCGTCACTGCCACCGGATTGGACACATGTCCATTAGGGGCGTGGCCTGCTCCCATCACCTTTGCAACCCCTCCTCCTCCTTGTGGTGTTATGAGGGGGTGAGGTCCAGACTGATGTCAGAGTCATTCCTCTTTGGCATGGAGGATGAGGAGGAGGTGTTGTAGGCTGGAACGGCACCATAGGGAAGTGATGAAGATGAAGAGGAGGAGGAGTGGGAGGCATCCTGCAGGGAGACGGAGGAGGTGGACGAGGACAGGGTGAAGGAGGCGGGGCGCTCGCCATCTGAGCAGATGGTGTTGACCGAAGTGCAGGAGGAGGATGAGGCTCCTCGATCCCCAGTCGACATCATCCTACCCACAATCCCGCTCAGGGATGAGACCGATGAGGGACGCTTGGAGGCTGCAGAGAGAAACAGGACATGGCCGATCAAGCTAGTTCTATTTCCTCCATCAGTCATCAGATTTAAATCAAGGCTCTTCATCATATCTGATATTGTGACTTACAAACATGTTTGAAATTACAGTAATGCAAAAACAGAATCTAAGAGGACTGAGGACTAAACCCTGTGGAACACCTTTAGGAAACACCATTAATCAGCCACTGTTCACAGCTGGAAGAAGTTTAAAAAAATTAGTCTAAACAACTTAAAGAGGTGTTTTTGTCTTAAAAATTTGGTCACCGTTGATAATGAATAAACAGGAAATGAGAAGCGAGAACCAGGCTGACTCTGCCATCAGCAGAGTTAACATCCTGCGCCATTAAAATAATCAATCAAGTGAGTACAAACCCTTCAGAACAAACAGTCAGCCTTAATTCAAACAACCACTATCAAAACTCACCAGAAAACTCCAACAAATGTAAATAAAACCTCAGTCTGTTCTCAGTAGGACCGTAAACGCACCGTCTGTCACTGCAAACAGGAAGTGTGTCCAACAGAGCATCTCCTCACCTCAGGCCCAGAAACTGTTCCTCTTTTTGTTACAAAACTGACTTTTTACCCCTGAGAGAAAAATCACATATTTAGCTAAGTGCAAAGAGATTGCTTGTACACCTTTAACACCTGTAAGCCCCTCCCCCTGAGTCACATAAAGGATCAGACCATTCAGGGTCTAATCTGTGTGTCCTGGCAAGAATTCTAGAGACCCTAGTAAGTCAACAATTGAAAGACTTTTGATATTCAAATGACCTTCTCTCACGTCTGCAATCAGGTTTCAGAAAACAGCGCAGAACCATCACTGCAGCTACAAAGCGGACCAATGACATCCTTGTTGCTCTTGATAAAAAGCACTTTTTATTGACCCGTCAAAGGCCTTTGACACTGTTTTTATTTTTGCTTTTCTTCCAGCATATAAATTAAAACTTTCTTCAACAGAAAGAAAACTTGAGAAACAACAAGTAACTTCCACCTTTGGCAAAAGCAGCAGAAGTTTTCCAACTGATTCAGTAAAGCCTAAAATCAAAAGCTTGTTTTACGATTTAATTACAAAACTCTGCATCCTTTATAAGAGAAAACAGGAACAAAAACCAGAAAAATGAGTCAAATCATATCAGAAAACAGACAGAGACGCTGCAGAGGTTACTTACTGCGTTCAGTGTTGTCAGAGTGTGTGAGAGTGTGTGTGTCTGTTGGTCCAGATGTTGCATCGATCCATTGGTTGTCGTTAATGACTCAATGAAGTCCGTCAGACACAGACTTAGAATAAAAAGAACCGTTGATTTCCTGTTGTTAGCTCTGAAATGTGTGTGTGAGTGTGTGTATGTGCCTGTGAGTGTGTGCAAGTGTGTGAGTGTGTGAATTTGCATATGTGTGCATGTGAGAGTGTGTACAAGTGTGTGAGTGTGTGCATGTGCCTATGTGGGCACGTGAGTGTGTGTGCAAGTGTGTGAGTGTGTGTATGTGCCTGTGTGTGCACGTGAGTGTGTGTGCAAGTATGTGAGTGTGTGCATGTGCCTATGTGGGCACGTGAGTGTGTGTGCAAGTGTGTGAGTGTGTGTATGTGCCTGTGTGTGCAGGTGAGTGTGTGTGCAAGTATGTGAGTGTGTGTATGTGCCTGTGTGTGCATGTGAGTGTGTGTGTGCAAGTGTGTGAGTGTGTGTATGTGCCTGTGTGTGCACGTGAGTGTGTGTGCAAGTGTGTGAGTGTGTGTATCAGCCTATGTGTGCACGTGAGTGTGTGTGCAAGTGTGTGAGTGTGTGTATGTGCCTATGTGTGCACGTGAGTGTGTGTGCAAGTGTGTGAGTGCATGTGTGTATGTGCCTGTGTGTGCACGTGAGTGTGTGTGCAAGTATGTGAGTGTGTGCATGTGCCTATGTGGGCACGTGAGTGTGTGTGCAAGTGTGTGAGTGTGTGTATGTGCCTGTGTGTGCAGGTGAGTGTGTGTGCAAGTGTGTGAGTGTGTGTATGTGCCTGTGTGTGCAGGTGAGTGTGTGTGCAAGTATGTGAGTGTGTGTATGTGCCTGTGTGTGCATGTGAGTGTGTGTGTGCAAGTGTGTGAGTGTGTGTATGTGCCTGTGTGTGCACGTGAGTGTGTGTGCAAGTGTGTGAGTGTGTGTATCAGCCTATGTGTGCACGTGAGTGTGTGTGCAAGTGTGTGAGCGTGTGTATGTGCCTATGTGTGCATGTGAGTGTGTGCAAGTGTGTGAGTGTGTGTATGAGCCTATGTGTGCACGTGAGTGTGTGTTCAAGTGTGTAAGTGTGTGTATGAGCCTATGTGTGCACGTGAGTGTGTGTATGTGCCTATGTGTGCACGTGAGTGTGTGCAAGTGTGTGAGTGTGTGTATGTGCCTATGTGTGCACGTGGGTGTGTGTGCAAGTGTGTGAGTGTGTGTATCAGCCTATGTGTGCACGTGAGTGTGTGTGCAAGTGTGTGAGTGTGTGTATGTGCCTATGTGTGCACGTGAGTGTGTGTGCAAGTGTGTGAGCGTGTGTATGTGCCTATGTGTGCATGTGAGTGTGTGTGCAAGTGTGTGAGTGTGTATGAGCCTATGTGTGCACGTGAGTGTGTGTGCAAGTGTGTGAGCGTGTGTATGTGCCTATGTGTGCACGTGAGTGTGTGTGCAAGTGTGTGAGTGTGTGTATGTGCCTATGTGTGCACGTGAGTGTGTGTGCAAGTGTGTGAGTGTGTGTATGTGCCTGTGTGTGCACGTGAGTGTGTGTGCAAGTGTGTGAGTGTGTGTATGTGCCTGTGTGTGCACGTGTGTGTGTGTGTGTGTGTGTGTGTGTGTGTGTGTGTGTGTGTGCGCGCGCGTGTGTGTGTGTTGAGCCCCGGATCTTCCTCAGTCCTTAATCTGCCCCTGGGTGTGCCCATGCGTGTGTGTGTAAGTGTGTGCGTGTGCACATGTGTGTGTGTTTAAGGAAACAGGATGTGGTTTGATGAACACACTTGTGTCATTTCCATCACCTTGTGCGCTGACAGAACACACCTTTATCTCTTTCTTCCTCACAGACTGAACTGAATATGGACCCGACCAGAACAGCCCTCAGACGACTCTTGTTGTGTTAATAAACTAACTTTAAACGGTCTCTCAGTCTAAGTAGAATTGCTGAGATGGATCAACTTTAGCACGGTAATCTAATAATTAGAGTCTCACCTGTGTCTACTGTTGCTTTAAATGTGGTTCCTGTTTCTGCCGAAGCGGGTCAGTAAGCATGGATACTAAGAGTCGGTCCAAACCAAAGTTTCTGTATGTCTGAGGACATTTCAGGTAAGTCCAGAATGTTCTGAAGGGATCAGACGAGTCAGAGTTAGAGGAAAGATTTAGCAGACCAGAAGACAAATACTTCTAAAGTGATCTGATTCTGCTGGAGGTGCTTCAGATGTTATTTGTCTAAGAGTCTAGAGGGGTCGGCTCTGTGCTGCAGTGGGTTGCACAAGGAACTTT